TCTCCTGCAGACAATGAGAAGGTCTGGGAGCTCTCTGGCCAGAACTGGCTAATGAAATCACTATTTTAGGAGGATGGATCACAGCAGGTGGACTGGGAAGCTGGAGGCCCAGAGACCCACTGGAAGGCTATTTGGAAAGGTCGGCTTCCAAGCTGCCTGTAAGTGTAAAAAAATCTATGAGTGCATTACCAGGAGAGCCATCCAGCTTCGTTTATTTTTATCCTACAAAATACAAGGTCAGAGACAAGTAGAGCACTTTCAGCTGAAATTATTTTTTTTAATTGACATCACACTTTACGCAAATATTAATTCATTTATTCAGCAAACACTTCTTGGGAACACTGGGCTAGCCTGAAAGCAAGGCATCGTTTCTTCAGTGTGCATGTTAATTATGGAGAGGCCTGTGTTTCACTTTGGCTTTCAAATGATCAGACCTCTGGCTTCTCAGCGGCTCGGAGTGGTCTTACAAATACTAAGATTCCAAGGACCGACCACTATGGGTACCCTTCCTAATGTGGAAACAAATATTTTAAATCCAATTGAAATTGCCCCAAATCATTCTGGAAGGCAAATAGCCTGATGTCTCGGGGAGAGAGGGGACTTTGCAATCTTGGGTGTTGAATGTTTTTAATGCAGCAATCTAGTCTCAGCACTGTCTTGTTGGTGATGTACAGAAAGAGCTCCCTGCTCCCGCAGAGGGCTCCCGACAGCTGGAGATTCCTCAGTTAGTGAAGGAGACTGGAGGGACGGGGCAGTGGAAGTAGGCAGGGCTGAACACCCGACTGCCCCAGAGCGCTAGCAAGTCAGGTAAGCTAGAGGGCTCAGAAGGAGCTGCCTGGGGCATTTGAGGGAGGGTGGCTTCTCTCACATCCCCCATGTTGACCCAAGAGGAGCAAACCCACCAAGCTTTCAAGAGAGGCGTTTGGGGTTTGTTTGTTCTTTTTTCCCCTTTGGTTTTTGCCCTGGCTGTCATGGGACTCATTTTGGAGACCAGGCTGCCCTCGAACTCACAGAGAACCGCCTACCTCTTCCTCCCAAGTGCTGGGATTAAAGAGGTGTGCCACCACTGTCTGGCTAAGAGAGGTGTTTCAATCTTTAGGTCAAACACTCTGATTTTTTTCAGGCCACTTTTAAATTGTTTTGGTAGTTGCTAAATAGACAACATTCAAAAGCTTTCAAACCTAAGTAGGGATTTGGTTCAGTGGGTGAAGGTTCTTCCAAGCAAGCCTGGTGACCTGAGTTCCATCCCTGGAACCTTTGTAAAGCTGGAAGGAGAGACCCACTCCAGGAGACTTTCCTCTGACCTTTACGTGAGTGCTGTGGCTCTTGTGCCCCCCCCAACACACACACACACATACAAACCACACTAACATTTTTCCAAAAATAAACACTTCAGTAAAAAACATACTCTTCTCACACCCTGTGCTTAAACATGGTCATATGTTCCCGAGGCTACTTTCAGGGAGTCTGTAAGATGCACAAATACAAACATGCATTTACAGTGTGCAAGAGCATGGTTACCCAAAGGCAGCCTACTGTGCGCACTGTTCTCTGCCTCACGGGTAAGATGCTAATGATGCTAATCATCCCAAAGACGGTTCCCCATCAGGCCACTGGGAGCTTCCTCAGTCTTCCCCGCAACTGCCTGCTGCTCCGCTGTGGGAATGGCTCTCTACTTCATACCTCTCCTCCCAGTGGACATTGGGTCCAATCTTCAAAACGATAGGTGATACTGTTAATGTTAAAAACATGGTATGCAGATCAAAAGCTCTTTGGGATGGGCACATGCCAAGGGCACATGCCACGCTGAGGGGTGTTGGGGACAATGCTTGGGTCTGTGAGTTCACAGCACAGGTGTCAGCCTCAGCTCCTGACCTGAAGTTACTTCAACCGAGGGCAGCTTCCAGCCTGTACCACATTGGCTTTTGAGGAAGGAAGATCTCTGGCAGCAGAGGCGACCAAGTTTTGGAAAGGAATTGTCCAGAGCCATGTGAAGAGTCACGCTACCCTGCGTGTGGACTTTCTACTGAGCCCGAAAATCCCCAAGGTCTGAGTTACAGGCTGGTCCCCACTGGTGGCAGAGGGGGAACTGAGAAAGGGCCCCACCCCGGAGGCCCCTCATTCTCTCGTGTATACATTTATAGGACACTTCCTGGGGCTGTGTCTTCTGCTGGAAATCTGTTTTCCCCAAAGAACCCCCAAACTTCTCATAATTTAAACCTCAGATCACATTCTGGGAAGACTGCCTCACCACCCTCCCCCTCAGTCCCCGCTCGGTCTTTCCATATTCTCCCCTTGACATTGTCTCCAGAGCCCCTGACATTATGGAAGCACACTGTGTGTTCACTCTGTGCTGACTTTCTCCCCTCACACACGCCCTAGCATGCAGGCACACCCAGTGAGGGCAGAGACTGACCCCAGAGGCCCCACAGAGTACGTAGGTATCATCCCTTTCCAATGCACAGAGCATCTTCCACAGCCCAGTGTCTTCCACTGGAAGCTGGTGGTCCGGCACTGGGTCCCAGCTCTCATACTGTATGACAGCTTCTATTGTCGCTTTCCCGGCACCTTTCAGCAGCCTGGGTACACAGACATTTCTCAGAGTCTTGCTTTCATTATTCATTATGACTCCACTCTGAGGGAAGAGGTATTTAGCTGCGTCTGATGAGCCTCCAAAAGCCTCATAAAAAGTGGGTCAAAAGAGGTGTTCCCCACGGAAAGATGAACAATTGGCTCTTCAGAGCTGCCTGGCGGCCAGCCAGACGGAGCTTGAGTGGGAAGCGGAGCACATCCGAGCAGGAAGCCTCCTTAGGAAAGCTCCTGAGCCACTCAGTATGAGGAGGTCGCCCACCAGGGGCCTGGAACTGCCTCCCAACCCTGGACACCACCCCAAGGGTCCAAGTCCCTTGGTTCACAGGCTAAAAGCAATGTAGGGGTTTCAGTGTTTCTCAGATGGGGAGATGGCCCAGGTGGCAGTTGCTGGCTGCACAAGCATGTGGACCTGAGCTCATCTCCCCAATACCTGTGTGTTTAAAAGTTGGGCAGTATTCAATCGTAACCCCCATCCTGGGGTGGCAGAGACAGGCAGATTCCGAAGCTCACTGGCCAGCCAGGGCAGCCGAGCTGGTGAACTCCGGGTACAGTGAAAAGTTCTGGTTCAAAAATAAGGTCAAGAAGGATCAAGAATGACACCCAACATCGACCTCCGGCCTCCACGCTTATGCACACACATGTGTCAGAACACACAGGTGTGCACACCCACATGAGCACACACACACAGAGAGAATTGCAAGGCACACATATGAGAACACATCCATGTATGCACTCAGGCATTTGTCCTGCCAGCCCCTCAGCCAGATGTCCTGACAGCAAATGTCCTGAACCTCATTCTGTGTGGACTTATACAGGCAGAATAAGGACCCTTGGAGAGTCCCCAAAGGAGTTTGCCTGCCTACCCGCCTCCATAGGAAACTGGCACTGGGAGGGTCTTTGTGTTAAACACCGAGGATGGAGGTAAAGGATTCATTTACATAAGAACCAAGACATACGTTAAGCACCATGCTTCTTAGCCCTATGCAAGGTCCATTCAAATGATCCTCACAAATGCCAGATGCCAATACAGACACCACCACCACCACCACCACGCCAGCGCAATTGCCTAATATGCAGTAGGGCTTGCTGGGATCACCAGTATCACAAACCAGAAAATTAAAAATAAGACAAAACCCCAAACATCGAAGGCAGGCAGCAGAAACGGCCATTGCCCCATTTCATAACTGAGGCTTAGAGAGGACGCCGAATCTGCCCCAACATAAGAGCACTTAAGTGGCAAGTCCAGACTTAACCCCACCCCTCTGACTCCCAGTCTGGTGCTCCTTCCTCTAGCCTCAGCTTTTGCTCAGATCAAGAGGGCAGGAGTGTGCTTTCTTAGGCGGCCATGTTTGGGGCCCTGATGCTCCAGACATTGGATGTAGCAGGCAGAGCTGGAGACTTGGGACCTGGCAGCTACTCTCTCTGCCTTTGAGAGTCTCATCCACTGTGTTATAGATTGGCCTCTGTGGATTGACTGGAGCAGTGGCCAGGATGTCTCAGATCCCGGGGCCCAGGCCACTATCAGAAAGAGCCTCCCACACTTGGGCCAAAAGAGGCCTTTCTCAGTGCCATTCCAATCTGCTGATGCAAAGAAATGGTCCCCAGGAAAGAGACCACAGGGTCATATGTTGGCCCAACTCCTTTGTTCTCAAAGGCAAAAGGTCAGGTGGGCCCAGGCGGGGGCAAGACTGTCAGCTCTTTGACCAGTGGGGAGGCAAGCAGAAGCTAGGAGCCTGGCACCCTACCCGTCACCCCCTCTTGTAGGTAGATAAACCCAGTAGCTGCCCCATCAGCAGGCCTGTGGCCCAAGGACACACCTGCAGATAATTAGTCCCAATCAGGTCGGGCCTAAACTGCTGACAGTGCAGGAACTGCCTGGTCATGTCACCGAATTTGCAGATGGTGAGCGGTTTCTGAAGCGTGGCCCCGGCTGGCAGAGCAGGGTTTAGCTTAATATTTAATGCAGCATATAAACGGTACAGAGAAACTGACTCGGTCTCTAATGAGACCTTCCTTGGGCTGCCTGACTTGTGGAAGCAAGGATGGGCTAGCTCAGGGACCCCCTCCCCCATTCTCCTTGTGGCCAGGAAAGAGGGACAGAGGTGGGCTGGAGGATCGAAGAGCTCTGGACTTGTGCAGCCAGCCACTACCACAGGCTGGGGTAATGGAGATCCGGGGCCCAAGAGCTCCGCAGTCTCTCCTTCAAGGCCTGGAACGTTTGTGGGGTTTTCTGTGCTGAGGGGCATTGCGGGCTGACAGACAAACAGACCACATTTCTCTTTTGCCTCCACTATTGCCTCATCCCACCAAACATCCACGTAGGTGAAAACCTGTTTGCAGACATTTGAGTTTGTTTCCATGTAAGTGTGAACCTGCCGTCTCCAGGCTTCACACACCTCACATTTCCTAGGACCCCAGCTATTGTGTCTCACTTGGAGCTGTGCCAGGAGTGCCCCAGCCTGCTGGTAAACCATAATGCCAGGATGAGCCCAGGTAAGTCCTCCATCCACACTCCTCCGTACATGTGTTCTGTGCACCGGGAGGCCCCAGCTCGCCTCATTACATCCTGCAGTATGGACTTTCAGAATGTATACCTAGAAAATACATATCACTTAGTTCCTCTTTGGCTTCATAGTTCAGGAACTGTTTTGATTTTATTTAAAAGTGGATATGAAAACAGATGTGGTGGTTTGGATGAGAATGACCCCCATAGGCTCATATATTTGAATGCTTGGTCCCCAGTTGGTAGAACTGTTTGGGAAAGATTAGGAGGTGTGGCCCTGTTGGAAGAGGTGTGTCACTCGGGGTGTGCTTGAGGTTTCAAAAGCTGGCATTATTCCCAGTGCCTCTTTCTCAGCCTCCTATTTGTGGATCAGGATGTAAGCTCTCAGCTACTGCCTCAGTGTCAAGCCTGCCTGCTGCCAGACTCTGCCATGATTGTCATGAACTTGAACCTTTTGGAGCCATTAGCCCCATTGAATGCTTTCTTTTATAATTTGCCTCAGCCATAGTGTCTTATCCCAGCACTAGAAAGGTAAACAAGACAATAGGCTATATTCTGTGTGAACTCAGATATCGAGAACATAAGGGCGGGGGGTGGGGGGAGATTCTGCAAACACTGGCTAATCCAAAGAGAGTCTGGTGGGGATAAAATGAAGACCCCACTCACTATGATAGGACAGGGATTCAATGCCCCGTAAGACGGAGGAAGGGGTGCAGAGGCCTCCTACTGAAACTTCATGCACAAGCCTCTGCTACATACGACGTGTATGCAAGTATGTGACTGCCCACTGTGTGAAGTCAGTGGTTCCACTCACGGCAGTACAATTTTATGTTATGTTTTGCATTTTCATTTTTATACATGGGATCATACTTCATTGTATGTGTGGGAGCCCACTTGTCTCTATGTGCACCACATTCATGCAGGTGCCTGCAGAGGCCAGAAGAAAGCACTGGAGTTAGAGACAGGTGTGAGCCATGTGATGGGTGCTGCGGATCAAACCTGAGTCCTCTGCAAGGGCAGCAAGTGCTCTTAACCACTGAGCCATTTCACTAGCCTCTAGTTCTACATGCATGGGGCGCGTACAGGGGGTTGGGGTGTGTGTGTGTGGGCAAAATAGATCCCCTGAGCTGTAGTTTCAGTTTCAGGAGGTTGTGAGCTACCTGACATGGGTGCTGAGAACAGAACCGGGGTCTTCTGAAAGGACACCAAGCACTCTTAACCACGGAGCCCTCTCTCCAGCCTCTTGCTTTCTTTTCACAGTAGTTAATATTGCATTGTGTGGAAGCGCCATAATCTACTGAGCCAGTTTCTATGGCAGGGCCTGCTTTGGCTCCATTTGTTTGCCTTTATAAATGACAGGCAAAACCATCATTGCAGGCCTGGAGAATAAGTTCCCTAAAGGGTATAAAAGCTTCTGAGTCAGAGGGTACTTAAATGTATCCGAAACCTTGATGGACACTGTCAAGTTTTCCTCCAACAGGAATTATAATAGCGATACAGGAAAATATCTTTCCTGTGCCCTTTCCAACACCGAGCCTTAATGCAGAGCTAGTAGTATCAGTTCAAGCATCTCAGAGCTGTTTTAATTTGCAGCTTTGAGACAACAAGGCAGGCACACATCTCCCCATACACTCTTACTGTGTTTTTGCCAACAAACTGCCCATTCACTGTCTAGTTTTTTCCACAGATTATTTTTTATTCATTTTGAAAGTATTTATTTTTACTATTTTTAATTATGTGTGTGCACGAGTGTCTGTGTAGAGTATGTGGACACTAGTGAATTGCCTGCAGAGGTCAGAGGTGTCAGATCTGGAGACGGCAGTGAGCCACCTGTCACCGGTGCTGGGATTAGAACTCAGGCCCTCTGCAAGAGCAGAGTGTGCTCTCAACTGCTGAGGCATCTCTCCAGCCCCCTTCTTATTCTTTTTTAAAAGCCCTTTATATAAAGGCTGGAGAGATGGCACAACAGTTAAGGGGACTTGTTGCTCTTGCAGAGGACCCAGATTTGGTTCTCAGAACCCACATCAGACAGCTCAGAATAACCTGTAACTTCAGTTCCAGGAGGCCTGACGCCCTCTTCTGGCCTCTTTGGGCACCTGCACACATGTGGTGCACATACAGAGAAGGAGACACACACAGCCATATAAAAAACAGTGCCTAGCAATATTTTGTGTGTACACAAAAGCTCTTTATATATTAAATGAATTAATGTTTACCATCTGTATTGCATTTTCTACCCTAGCTTTTCTTTTTGTCTTTGGATGTTTTTACATAAAAAATATTTACTTTTTAATATTTTTCGAACATTTGTATTTGAAACATTTTTAAAGGCCTTTTCTACCCTAAAATTATAATTTTTCCTGTTTTTTTTTGTCCTAGTTTATTATGGCTTTATTTTTTAAAGATTTAGCTAGCTGGGAATTTGTTATAAATAATACATAAATATACATGTTTATGGGGTACATAGTGATGTCTTGATATACATTACAATGTCTCATGACTAAACCTGGCTAATTAGCATGTCTGTTACCTCACAACCCACTGGTTTCAGTGGAGACAGTGAAGCAGGGATCTGACTAGAGTATATTTGGACCTGTTTGTATCCTGCCCATTCTGGCCCATGTGTTTGAAACCTCGGCTTCTACAATAGTTTTTAGTTACTATAGAATTACTATACATTTTTCTTTTTATTTAAAATTTTATTACATTTATTGTTTTGCTTGTTTGTTTGGTTGTGTGTGCATGCGTGTGCGTGTGTGTAGGGGGGTCATCAGGCTTGGCAGCAAGCACTTTACCCACTGGCTGAGCTTGCTGGCTTCTTGTCATGTTTTGGAATGTCCCAGAAGCTCTACTTCAGAACGTCTCTAGCTATCCTATGGTATTTATTTAGCCAGCCCTTAGCAGCATTTTGATGATTTTTTCAAAGTCTGTTGCGTTTTCCTCGGGATTGCTCTAAGGTTAGAGGAGACTTGGGGAAAGAACATCTTCCTGACAGTCTAGGAACAAACATCTCTCCATTATTCTCCCGTATCTTTGTAGCTCTACAGCTAAATTTATTCTCTGGTATTGTATGTATTGTCATTGAAGGGTTTGCTCTATTATGCTAATTATTATTTATGTATAAGAAAGCTAATGATTATACTGACAATTAGAATATACCCTCCATTTTATATGTTCGTTTTTTTGTGTGTGTGTTTTGAAACTGGGTCTTACTATGTAGCCCAGGCTGGCCTCCAACTCCTGATCTTCCAGCTCAGCCTCCTGAGCGCTGGTATCACAGGTGTGCACTCCCATGCCCTGCTCTGGAATGTCGCTGACATTTCAGAACTAAGCATACCCCTGACTTTGGTCAGGGATGTTTATACTGGGAGCTACAGAAGCACCCAGCTGACTTTCTGCAACTCTGTGGATCCAAGTATAATACACACTCCTCATGCATGGCTTCTCTTGTGAATGAGGTGGCCTTTGGCTGGGGACCATGGAGGCCTGTCTGAGGAGCTGCTGACACTGAGCCCCACCTGCCATGACCCATGGGACTACAGCCCAATGGGGCCAGCTCTTCTAATTTTTTGAGAAGACAGGAGGCTAGATTTTTTTTTTTTTAAGTCTTGGCTCAAATTCTCTAAAAGCCCCATGAGGCCCAATTAGATTTATCTGAAGGCTAGATTAGCCTTAGCTAGCAAACATGCATCTCATTCCCACAGACAAGGATCTTAAGCCTCAGTGTTCACTGGACTATTAGCCACCTAGATAAGCATGTGCCCAAATTCATTTCCTAAATCCTGCCCAAAACTTTTTCCTCTGCAGTGTGGTCTTCTAGAAGGCTAGGGTGACTGTAACTCAGCTTTTCACTCCTTACAGCAGGCATGCCTGAGCTTGGCATCTGCCCCTGTATAATGGGAATACTGTCACTGAGGTCCCTGGTGAGCCTCGGCAGGGGTCCTCAGGAAACACCTCACTGACTGGAGCTCACTGGCTGGCATCCCTTCTGTGCATCCCCTCCCTGAGGCTCACCTGGCTTCAGGCTCTTCCCCATCTTAGCCAAACTGAGGACAAGTCACTCTTGCTCTGTCAGACCCTCAGGTAGTACCCAGACCTGCACACGGTTACTTTTCCCTCAGCTCTTGCCTCGTTCACCCCTTCTCTTCAAATTCTAATACATGAGAATTTCTTGGCTCTGTTACTACTTTGAGATTATGTCCATCAGGCAACGGAGACGTCTGGCTGGATCCCTAATTCCAAACCCCAGTATAGCCTCCCAGCCCCCGCTGTCTGTCTGTTCCATATTCTGGAGACCCTCCTGCCTCCTGGGTGAGACACCCTCCCGGAGCTGGTAGAGTGGCTGTCCCAGGGCTCCACAGTGCTGGGCTGGAGAAGGGAGCTCCCCAGAGCAGCAAGCTACAGTGACCACACGAGGGGGTCTGAGGAATCACAGCAGACCACTTGCTGGCTGATGACTTTGTGCCAGGCAAGAGTCCAAGCTCCTCGTGCAGAGGAACCTAGTCATCCTCACAAGAGTGCCGCGCTATAGCCATCGTCCCTGTTCCCAGCACACAGATCAGAGAAGCACAGCTGGAATTCTGATACCACTCACCCAAGCTGACATGGCTGACACACACAGCTGGAACCCCTGCAGGGAGTGGAGGCCTGTGCGGAGGACAGAACTCAGGCCCAGCACTCTATTGCTGAAGGGTGATCGTGGAGGCTGCTGGGAAAGCCAGCTGCTTGGCGCATACCCAGCCCCTCCCAGCCCTTCTGCACCCAGCCTCTGCTGGGAAATCTGAAATGCCAGTGATAACTTACAAAGAGTCTCTTTACTCCTGGAGGTTGATGCCGACCAACAGATTTCCCCAGCTCATGAAAAGGAGAAATCCCAGTCCTCGGAGTGCTTGGCCCCGCCACAGGGGTCCCTCTGACAGGGCAAGCCCAGCCTCTCCCAGCCCTTATTCTCCTGTAGATACACCGGAGCAGCATGCGGCCATGTCGCATCTCAGCCACAACCTGTGTTCTCCAGCAGTCTGCCCCCTGACCTGAGCTGGGACCTTATAACCTCATTAAAGCCGGGGCCAGTCATATCCAAAAGCATCAAGAACAACTTCCCCCCTCACATTCATTCTCTCTCTCTCTCTCTCTCTCTCTCTCTCTCTCTCTCTCTCTCTCCCAAATCCCCATTCAAGCATGCTCACCTGTGACAATGGGGTAGGACTGTGGGCCCGGCACACTGCTCCCGATGTCCGCAGGGGTGGGGCTTGTCAAATTGGCTTTCATGTCATCCAGGCCTCCGGCCAGCGAGGCCATGGCTGAATACTCTGTGGTCTGAAAGAGGAAGCAGACATCTCAGCATGTAGCCCAGAGGCACCCTCATCAGATTCAGGGCCATGATCTGTCCATAGAGGTTCTGGGAAACCCAGGCTGAAAGGGCAGATGCAGCTCAACGGAGCAGCACATGTGTCCAGAACCGACCACTGTTCCCGGAGAAAAGGTGGGCAGGAGTCCACACAGCATCCCCAGAAGTCAGATCTCACCGGCAGATTTCCCGGCTCAGCCCCACAGGCCAGGGAGGGGGCCAAAGCAAGCAAGGCAGAAATAAGAGTCGACCTCCAAGGACAGGGGCCACATGGCTTCTGATTTGCAGGCTCTCAGACAATAGGGTGGGACCCCCCCGAAACAAGCATTAAAAAGGAGTTGGAGGGATCACCTAATTAAGACCCATTTCACAGATGGACAAATTGGGGTTCAAGAGGAGGAGGGTTGTGTCTACATAAGATCAGACAGAATCCCAGTCCAGGGGCCAGCTGACCGACGGTTCCCAGCCCTAATTCAGTACATAGAGCCAACCGAGTCACAGTTTGATGAGTGACTTTTGGATTCTGGAAGTATATGAACACTTGCGTGCTGAATATTCCAGGTACAGACGTCAGATTTATCAAACCCATGACAACCGAATGTGCTGGGCAGTGAGTCATGTCCATTTCTCTAAGTCATGAAATCCAAGCCTGTGATGAGTCATGAAACCTTTGCAGAATGGCCTCCAGGGAAGGCAGAAAAGATACCAGCCTGGACCTTCCCATTCAAGGAAAGACTACATTATAGCCACAAACAGCATGCCTCTGCCTCCTTCCCAAACCCTTCAAACACTTCAGCCAAAGAATTCGGTTATGTGTACCAAGTTTTGGTTGGGGGCTTCTCTGGAGCCTGGCCTTGCCAACGGAGGTCACATCCCCATCTGCTCAAGATGATATACTTGGCAGGCAGGGACAGTAGTAGGTGGGTGAACAGGCTGAGAGCCTGAGATAGGGAGCTCCTCGTGTATGTGGGGAAATGATGGTTGCTATTTCTGAGGCGTCACTTGGCAGGACCAGCAGGTGGAGCGGGACACATGTCACCTGCAGAATGGTCACCAGGAGAAGACTTTCCAGAGCAGGTGAGACGGGAAGATGACTAAGGCCTGTTCCTGTCTTCACTGTCACAGGCCACCTTGTATGAGCATCCCTGGGCCCCTCCCCAAGGCCTCATTCTCTCTTCCATGAGGCCATGTTTGTACCTGCGGAGTTTGGGCAGGACCTGGAGCTGACCATATTAGGTGGCTGTGCCTTTTGCATTTAGGCCTCTAATCCACCTGGGATTGATTTTTGTGTCTGGTATAAAAATCTAATTTCTTCCTTCTCCCTACTTCTGAATGGATAACCAGGTGCCCCTTGCTGGTTATTAAGAGCCCATCTTTCCCTGCTGATTTGTACATCTCCTTACCCATATATCAAGGTTCCATATGTGCACAGATGGCTTCCCAGCCTGGATCCTGTTTCACTGGTCTATTTATCTACCCCTGTGCCAATAGCACACCATGTTAATTACTGCACTTTTCCAATGGTCCCTGGTGCAGGTAGACCTGGCCCCCAGCCCGGCTTCTCTCTTCGAGTACCTGGGTCTGTTATGGGCCTAGCGATTCTTCGTTACATGTTTTTGGAATCGGCCTCTTCTGGAAGATGATTGATAAGCCCCAGGGGTTCTGGCCGAGCTGTCCTCAATGGGCACCACCTCGGGACACCACTGCTCAGGAAGTACTTTCCGACTTTCAGAGACCGCTGTGTCAAGGGCTTCACCTGTGACTTCCATCTCAACCTCAAGCTCTGCCCACAAAGGGGGGCTGTGTTATTCCATTTCTCAATGCAAGAGCTCGAGACGTCAATTCTAGAAGAAATGGGATGTGCTTAAAGCCACACAGTGCCTAGGCACCAGGATTCAAACATGGGTCCATCTCACCCCAGCATCTTGACAGTTACCCTAATGATTATCCAACTGTGAGGCCCGAACCCATAACAGTGATGAAATCAAACAGCTGTTTCCAACTGTTTGAAGTTGAGTTTTTTGTTTTGTTTTCTTTTAGTGGCTTCTTGTTGCTGCTATTTTGGGGTTGTTTTGAGACAGGCTTTCAAGTAGCCTAGGCTAGCCTAAACTTACTGTGTAGCTGAAAATGACCTTGAACTTCTGATCCTTCTACATTCACCGCCCCAGGGCCAGGATAGCGAGCATGGATCAGAACACCCAATTTCCTGCCATGCTGGGGATTGAATTCAAAGTGCCATGCATGCCAGGCAGGCAGTCTACCAGCTGAGCTATTTCCCCAGCTCATTGGTAACGGAATTAGAAGGAAAAGAACAGAGACCGAGGCTTCCAGACCTAGAGAAGTTAAGCCCTATTTTGTAAATCATGGTTCACATATCAGTGGGTAGAGAGGAAAATCCATTTCTTGCTGTGAGGTGGAAACAGTGGCGTTTGAAGAGCATGTCTGCATCCCATGCAGCAGGGAGCTGTTGGGGGGAGGTCACTGTCTAGATTCCCTCCCTGTAGGACAGAACTGAGCATGCCCTAGCCTCTAGTCTGCTGAGACTGCATCTGAGATAAAAGCTCACCAGAGGCAGCTACCTCCTTCAGCGCACTGCTATGCCTCCGGGAGGGTCTCTTTTGAGATCCAGTTCCTGGATGCCTGGACATGGGTCCTAGTTCCTCTTCCTGTGTCTCCCTGGATGCCTGAGCACAGTGAGTGGATATTTATTTCAGCCATGCTAGGCCCTGCTATGTGCATGCGGGTCTGTGAGACAGAAGAAATCCCTCCACAAGCTCCCAGAGAAAGATGCAGAGCCCCAGAAAGTCCATCCAAGATGGAGAAAAGTACAGAGCCATTCATTCTCAAGGGGTGTGGTGTGGTCAGGAAAGGTTTCTGAGGGGTGGGCTGAGCAAGCTCCATCCCTTGGGTTGGAACAGCTGAGCAGAGCTGAGAGGTGAAGGGAAAGACCAGGCAGGATGGGGCACAACTGAGGACGTGGACATGAAGGTAGACGGGCTGGAAGTGGACCACGTTGGACCTCTTCCATGGATACAAAGATCAACAATGAGCATGCTCCTCCAGGCCCTCAGCATTCCAGCCAAGAGTCAGCACACCCCTCATACCCATCCCTGGCCGCAGCAGCCTTCCGGACTTCATTTGCAGACGTGGCTGGCAGCTGAGCCTGTGGGGGAAAGCTTAGGGTTCCCCCTAGGAGACAGGCAGAGCCAGGTGCAGAAAGCGTGGCTGATAGAGGTTTCCTGCCTCCTCATGTGTCTAAATTTCCAGGTGGAAACCAGTATTTGATTCTGTTCAGTGTCAGACGAAGTGCATGGAGTCACTCCAAACAGCTGGGTTTGCAAGACTAGGTATTTCCACCACACGGGGGAGGCCCACTCGGCCAGTCCCTAAACGCCACTGGCTTCCAGGAGGCAAGAGAAAGAACCTGACTAAGGGTTCCAGGCTGGTGGGCTATGGTTCTCACAAACAACCGAGGCTTCAGCAACTTTGTGGCCACCCAGCAGGGTTCCAGCCTGTTGTTGGGATCTGACAATCCTTCCTCTGCTCCTCTAGGAGCAGGATGCTATCTTTTATGTGGGTGTTCAGTTTTCCCTCCAGTCTATCCTCGGAGCTGCCTGTGACGTTTTAAGGACTACTGTGTTCTCTCAGATCTCCTGGGCTTCCACAAACGTGGCTGAACGGGCTGTGCCTCCTGGCTGTGCTTCCAGGCTCCGAACTGTCTCCACCTGGAGGGCCCATCTCAGTATGTCCAGGGCTCCTGCACTGTCCATAAGACCCAGCTCAAACATGACCTCCCTGGTGAAGCCATCCCTGACTCTATAGCCACCACCAAAGTCACGGCTCCTCCTACGTTCCCTCACTATGTGGCTTTTTGTCTAGGACTCTGCCCTAGCACCTCCATATATAACAACTATTTGTCTCTCCTTTTTCAGAACATAGGGCCTCCCTACAGCCTCCCCCCACCCGAGTGTATATTGAATAAATGAATAAATTAATGAATGAATGGATTTTCCATCCACATGATATAAACTACAGATCTCAAGAATTTACTGGAGGCCAGGAATGGCAGCACCTGCCTATAATCTTAGCAGCCGTGAGGCAGGGGGATCCAGGCTAGCCTGGGCTACACAGTGAGATCTTATCTCAAAAAGCAGAAATTAACAAAGGAATTAATTAGAAAGTTTTTAAACAGTAGCTCCAAGTGACCCAGTCACATGCCCTGCCTCCTCCCACCAGGACTCCTCATCAAGTCAGGTGACAAGAAAGTTAGGCCCCTGTCCAGTATTGGTTAAAGCCCCCAGAGAAGTATATTTATTTAAGACAATAAAAAGAAAAGGGTCATACAAAGGTATTTTTTAACCTCTGGAGACACTGTCCATTAGAATATTCAAATTCCTTGCCCTTCCTTCTCATAATTCACTGGGGAAAAAAGGTTATTTCCCATGCTGAGTTGTTAATTTGCCTCTGATCAAACAACTAGAACATTAGAAACCATTGTATATCCCCTCTTGCTTTGGCTGGCAGGAAGCTCAGTCAAATTCAGTGTTCAACTAGCACCCAGACATCACTGCTGGGCCCTGGAAGAACAGCCTCCCCTTTTCTCTAGGCTACAGGACTCCTTAGCCTGACTTAGATAACTTCAACCACTTCTCAGACCACTGCAAGCAAGTCCTTTGTAGAAGATGGGTCCCGGGAGAGAGAGAGACACGTGTAAAAAGGAAGACAGACAGACGGAAAGATGAGCCGGAGGAGAGCGCTCCCGGTGCCCCTGTTCCTGGTAGCAATGTCTGTCCTCTTGCATTTCTCACTGATGGGAAGCCAAGGGCTAGCCAATGGGGTGTGGAGGGCGCATACAGTGTGTGTTGACGTACCCACACTCCTGGGCCCATCACCCCATCCCAGCCGCCCCCGCCACAGACAGTCACAGACCCCAGCTGTGTTGCCCACTTCCCCTTCTCTGAGCCCTTCAGTGTGTGTCTGAAGCTGTCATGTCAGCTCCCGCTCCCTCTCCTGGGAGCCCCTGCTCCTGTCCTTGCCCGTGACCCAGAAAGAAACAGTAACCGAGGCCAGCAGTTCACAGACTGCTCAGTCCCACACACACAGCAGCCTCAACCCCCTACGCCTGCAGCCACAGACTCCCCTGAGTTCCCAGAGGCCGCGACCACCAGCTCAGACTGTGCACCCTCCTTGACAGACAGTAGGCTCCAGTGTACGGTTGGCCTTGCTCGCTCGCTCGCTCGCTCGCTTGCTCTTGAACAACAGAGTGACAAAGATGCCCAGAGCCACCTCATCTGAGGCGACAACTCTGAGGAGCAGAGAGGTGGGGGCACTTCACTGTTCTCTGTCATTTGAAGTCTCGGCCCGATGGTAGCCAGACATGGAGCTTGGGGTGACCACACGGGACTCTTGTCCCAGCTCGGTCTCTCCTAGGCCCATTCCAGAGGGAAAGGCCATGCAAGCGAGACAGGGTGAAATGGTGTGTTCGTTCTAAAGCCTTGCTGCCTGCCTGCAGGAAGCTCCTGAGAACCTGATGGGTGGGAGAGGGGAAGCAAGCTGGGGGTAAGTACTGAGAGGTCGAGGAATCCTAGCCGCAGACTCGGAGTCATTTGGGTCCCTAGGAAATTACCTGGAAAAGGACTGCCTGGGGCTGCACCAAGTATTGTCTCATCAGCACCGGGCACCACTGCCATAGCATGGAGGAGAGAAGAAACAGACACGTGAGAAGGGGGGCGGGGAGAAGGGGGGCGCAGCACAGGGATGAGACTCGGGGAGTGTGACTCAGCCAGCCCTGCGCAGGGGACTTCCATGCTGGGGAACTGTGGGCCTCAGATGGCCCCTGGGAGCCCAGTCAGAGCCGGGACACCCACTCCCATCCTGAAGGACCAGACACTGCTCATCTCCACCCCTACCCAGAGGAGGCTAGAATAGCAAAGGGGAGTCCTGGGGCCTGGCCCCAAGACTGAGACTGGGGAATTAAGGGTTCTTCCCCCAAGAACACCTCATGGTTTCTAGAGACTTCCCTCTGGGGCCGTTCACGCTATGATCTCTAATTCTTTGCTGTTATCTCTGGCCCACAAGACAAAATACCATCTCCGTCTCTGTGAAGTGAATTCCAAGGTGAGGAAAGAGAGGCAAGGGGGCCGCCAAGCTAAAGGACACTCGGAGATGTGTCCGTCAACTCAGTGCGTACCCTGATGCAGGCAAACTGTAAAACACGTAACTGAAAAGACCGTGCATGGCTTGGCCCTGCCTCAACTCGATATGCCAGGCTCTGTTGATTCCCCATGAGGCTTTAGGTTCTGAGGACTGGATGGGGGATGGGGTGGGGGGAGGTGGGGGGGGGAGCGGGAGGAAGGGAGGGAGGGGGAACTGTGGTTGATAGATAAAATTAAAAAATTAAAAAAAAAAAGAAATCATGCCGTATAATGGGAAACTTGTGCTTGATAACATCAAGGAATTTGCTAACTTTTCAGGTGTGATGAATGGGATGGTTACACTCTGCTCAACGTCTTTAAAACAAATCTTTGAAAGATTTGCTTCAAACATTGGTAGTGAAATGAGACAGCGTCTACCAGGAACCCAGCACCGCATTCCTGTCTCTGCATCCTGACTAGAGATGCTGGGAAGCCAGCCTCCTCATCCTTCTGCCGCCATGCCTTAGCTGCTGGACAGACTGCATCCCTCGGAACCCAGAAAACAAACCCACCCCCCTTAACTGGCTGTTCTCAATTTGCGCCCCCCCCATTAACTGGCTGTTTTCAGTCCCCCCACTAACTGGCTGTTTTCAGTCCCCCCATTAACTGGCTGTTTTCAGTACTTATTAACTGGCTGTTTTCAGTCCCCCCATTAACTGGCTGTTTTCAGTCCTCCCACTACACTAACTGGCTGTTTTCAGTCCCCCCACTAACTGGCTGTTTTCAGTCCCCCCACTAACTGGCTGTTTTCAGGTACCCAGCCCCAGCGAGGAGGAAATAAGTGATCCTGGCGCTCTCACCAGCAGTCCCCAGCACCTGTGACATAATGAGAGCACCCAAGAGGCCAAGGACAGCCAGAAGTTTGTTCTCTGTCCCCGCTCCCCTGTGCCTGCCCTGCTCTTCCAGGCTGCCACACCTCTACCCCAGCCTCTGCCTTCCGGGACTGTTCTGGAGAAAGGAGACCTCACACCCTCCTCCTGCCTGGCACCTTCCCTGACAATCCCCGCAGGTCCCTTATGTCCTTGGGACCCTGGGGTGTGAGCCGATGAGAAGCTCAGGAGGGAGCCCAGGTTTCTCGTGTCTGCTGGGTGCCTGTCCTTCCCCCCAGGGGCCAAGGTGGAGTGGGAGAAGACTTCTCTCAGACAGTGCCATTGCCGAAGCCGCAGGCCAGCGCTGGGTCTCACCTAAGTTCATGCCACGCGAAAATGGCCACACACTACCTGGAATTTGGAGATTTGTGACCAATTTCAGAAGGCCACAGAAGCAGAGAAGGGGAGTAATAGGAACTCAGTACTGGAGGCCAGATCTTTTTCTATTCTCTGTTTTTTTGTTTTTTTGTTTGTTTGTTTGTTTGTTTTTTACTCCCCAGGACCAGGCATGTTTAAAAACAAACAGACAAGCGAGCAACAAGAAACTTGAAAAACACCTTCTAAACAGGACAGCAGCAAAAATGTTAGGGTGGAAAATACTTCAATAAAATGGGTTAGAAGCGGAGGCGCAGACACGGGATTGTTGACTCCATATGGGCAGAGCTGCCAGCTACCATGCCCAGCTGTGAGGTCACTGTGGGAAACGGGGTGAGAGAGGCATGAGATCCCTCTGTGTTACTCTATGTGTGTCTACGGCGATCTCAAAATAATAACCGCAGTCCAACACACTTTAGCATTCTGTCTCTACTAACCAAATTAAAAAAAAAATCAAAATTTTAAAATAAACTTTTTGTTGCATGCAGACTGTGAATGACACTAGTCATAGTATCCATCGTCTACAAAATATGACTGTCACTGTCAACCAGAGGCAAGGGTTGTCAAGGATTCTGAAAGGCCTCCCTCTTCCTGGAAGTCCTCCCTGATTTCCCTCCTCTATGTTCCTAAAACAGCTCAGTGTGCAGATCTCAACCGAGCCCAAATCACCACTGCAGTCTTAACCACTCAGGGTCCCCATCCTCCAGCTAGAGGGCCAATTTCAAAAGGAGGCACTGAGTCTCCCTTATCTCTGCGGCAGCAGCTCCTGACCCAGCTCAAAACAGGTGACACAAACATCTGGAACCAAATGAACTGGGACAGGTGCATGGCCGAGCTCTGCCAGCGATGCTGGGGGGGGGGGGCTTCACAGTGTCAAGGGGAGGATAAGTGATGTCAACGTTCTTTCAGCTTGCTAGCAGAAGTACATGGTAGGGACAGGGCTGGCAAATACTCTGTTTGTGGCCATCTGTGGGTCAAAACGATTCCCAGCAGAGCAAAGGGCTTCCAAGGAGACACATGCGAAGTTGGATGATGTATCTTGCTTCTGTCTGTGTCTGCTCTCTGCAACCCCAGAGCACCCCAAAAACCTTCCAGGTGGGATGGAAAAAGCAGGGACATTCCAGGGGGGGCCAGTGGGGTCAGACGGCATGCCTTCTGTCCCAGGGAAAACTTTCAGCAAAGAGTGCCGGAGAAACCCTTCTCTCTGGCCTTTGGTAGACTTTAGGTGAGCCTCAAGCCTCGGGGCCCAAAGGTAAGATGCTGGTCTCTATCCGGTGCTCAGAGCTCACAAATGTGTGTCTTGGTGACAAGGGACTCGCTACTTCCTGAGGGGCCACTCTACGGCCACATAGCCAGCCTTGGGACCGGTGCTCAGTCTGTCCCCATAGGCCTTGGGTGAGCTTTCTCTACTCCAGTTCCATCAAATGTCCCCTGAGCATCCCAGGCTGGTGGCTTCCTGTCTGATTCCAGACAGGGCTCCAGTGCCTCCACCGGCCCTCCTGCACCCCTTCTCTGGTTGGGGTGTAGAGTGCTTGCTTCTGATTTCCTGGGCCTCCATTTCCTGGCTCCTCACGGTGCTCTCACAGATGAGCACTCACTCCATCTTTATTAGAAGTGCGACGTAATTGTGCATGTGACACAAGAGTAAATAAGCATTCGCTTCCTCCCCCCCCCCAACCAGTGTGGTATGGGCAAGTCCACACGTGTCCCCAGACACAAACAGGAAGGTTCTCCTGACAAGGACACCCTCATTGTCCTGACAAAGTTCTGAGTCCTGGAGCATGTGGAGACCTGACACCCACATCTGAAAGGTGAGGGTCTGCAGGGCTGAGGCCTGAGGATAGGAGAGGAAGCCTCGCTGGAGGCTTGGGCCTGGCCCAGCTCTGCTTGGCTGATCGATCAGTTCAGGTCCTCATGTGTGGAAGGAAGGAAAGTTCCAGAAACAAAGCTCCATCTCCAGGCAGCCAAATTCCATGCTTTCCCCATCCTGCTCTAAAGCTAGCAATAGGCTGGGAGGGTCATTCCTCTCAAGGAAACGTGGGACTGTTATCTACCAAGAGGTCTGAGTGGGAGAGGAAAAAGGGGGGCCCTTTTCATCATGGCAGGTACCTGACATGGGAGGAGAGGAGCCATCCCAAGATGCCCACAATTCATTCTCTTTCATTCCTTCTAGCTGTGAGGAGGAGAGGGAGGTTTTCCTGGGACCATGAAGAAATGGTAAAGGAACACTTCCCTCAGACAGAATAGGTGCAGGCTAAGGGTGGGGCAGGGGCGGGGGCAGACCCTTCTTCTGACCCCCTCCACTAGCAGAGCAGAGTAGAGTAGAACCATGCCTATTCCCCCCACCCCTCCCTCCGACCCCCTCCCTTAGGCCAAAGGGTCACGTCTCTGCTCCTTCTGTTGCCTATCAGAAAGGAATTTCTAACAGACAATTCTCCGAAAAAGCCAGCACAGGGAGCCTTGAAGGGAATGCCCTCTTTGTCACCAAAGATTTTCCTCGGCCAAACAGAAACTGCAGTGGAACATCCAGAAAAAGAAGGCTAAGAAAGCCATAGACACAGATCCACGGCCTACAGTTTAGAGGACTCTGCTGGATCTCAAAGAAATCCTAATACACCTTAAAAACTGGAAATAGCGTGCGTGTTCTGCATGCTTCCCACACACAGGGGACTGCTGCAGGTTAAAAGGTATTGATTCACTTAATCCCCCGAACAACCCCAAAGGGTATTGCAAACCCCCTTACAGATGGTGAACATAAGGACCTGGTGCCAAGCCCCATGAACGTGTGAAGACCACCCCCTTCAGCAGCACGTCTCCAAAGTGCAAGAGATGAATACCTCCAATCCTCAGTCACTGTCCTTAGCCCTGTCACCCCACAGGTGAGGACACTGAGGCCGAGGAGCACACAGAGCAGGGGTAAAATGCATGTGCTGATTCCCAAGTCTACATGCATTACTCTGCTTCTCGACTGCCTTGTGATGAAGCGCTGCAGCCCGGGGCAGGAGTGCCAGTGGCAAGGCCAGTTACGATGACGACTTTTCACAGTCTACAGCATCTTCAACCTGCTGCTAACTGAACCTCCCCCTCTGTGGCCACTCCCTCCTCTGCCCAAGTCCTGTCTCTCTGGCCCTCAATCCTGGCCCAATAACGACCTCTTCTGGAAGACACTACCAGGCTAGGGTGGAGAGGTTGCTTGATGGTTAAGAGTTCATACTGCTCTTGCAGAGGACCAGAGTTCCATTTTCAGGACCCAATTCCCGGCACCTGTGGTGGATTACTTGCAAAGCTCTATAACCCAAGCTCCAGGGACTCCAATGCCCTCTTCTGGCCTCTATGGGCAATGCACTCACACGAACCCACCCCTACCTCCATCTCTTACACCCCCCCCCCACATACATACCTGTGTGCATGCATAACAAAGAATACAATTTTTTAAAAATATTTTTTAAAACAAAATATTTTCAGATTGGCCCAACCACAGATGTCACTAACTTTACTGTTTATTCTTTTTCTTAATTTCTGTGTATGTGTGCTTGCCGATGCAAATTTATATGCACCAGATACATGCAGTGACTTCAGAGGGCAGAAGAGACATTAGACTCCCTGAAACTGAAGTTACAGGAGGTTATGGGCCACCATGTGGGTGCTGAAACCAAACTCAGGTCCTCCGCAAGAGCAACAAGCTCTCTTAACCATTGAACTGTCTCCTCCCCCTCTCGTTCTTGCTATTAATACGGTAAGCTTTTATAGGATTTGGGTGTTTGTAATGCTTAGGGTTGAACCCAAGGCCACAGGTATGCTAGGCAAGCCTTCTCCCACTGAGGTATAGCTCCAGCCCCCAGAAAGCTCCTAGATGACAAATTCAAAAGACAGCCACGCTCAAATCGAATGTCAACATTAACAATTAATCCTAACGCTCATGGGAAACAACAGAGAAAGAAGGGGCGTGGTATTCTTAGCATCGTTAAGGAGAAGCTGGGCACCTGCCCGTTAGTTGGCTCACGGCCTCTGTGTTCTTTAATGAAGATGACACACTCACGTTACTAGAAGCTGATGGAAGAAGATGCTGGCTGGCTTTAGGTTTAAGCAATTCTGGAGAAGCCCAAATTTTACCTGAGTTAATAGTAAAGAAAAAGCGGGCTCAGTGGCAATGGTGTTTCCTGCTTATGTGCCTTTTTGTCAAGGTTAAGTTTACTTAAGAGCCTCTGGTTTTCATTACACACTGTTTGCGCTTTGCAGTTATGTGTTAATTTCATGAAGCTTGTACCTCGGAA